CCCGACCCTAGCCTGCGCCCCCCCAGCCCCAGACTTCCCCCTCCACCCCCGCCCTGCTCTCGCCCCTCTGAGTTCCCTGCTTCTATCAGCACTGATACCCCCTTGCAGGGGTCCAGGCAGTGGAAGGGAGGAAAGTTGAGGTGCCCGAGGCCGCCTAGGCTGGAATGGAACCGTCTGCGTCGTCGGAAGGGGAGCAGAGAGGAGAATCTAGTCAGTATTGTCCTGGGCCCGCCGCCCTGGCTTTCCTGAAAGGGACCGCCGAGCTCAGGCTCAGGGAGGGGGCATCCGTCTGTTCTGTTGATCTGTCTGCCCGTCCTTATTCCGAAGTGCCTTCTTTAATTCCAGGAGCCTCGTAATAAGTCTTAATATTTCTCTGACTTTGTTCTTCAAGATGTGCTCAGGTTTTCTTGGACTTTTGCATTTTTAGAATTGATTGTTAATATAAGCCCCCCCCCAACACACACACACACACACACACACACACACACACACACACACACACACACACACGAGTCCTGCTGGGATTTTGTGATTCCATTGATTGTGTAGATCAATTGGGGTGAGAATTAACATCTTAATATCCAGACTTCTGACCATGAACATTAGGTCTTTCATTCTTGTCAGTAAGGTTCCCACTTTTAGTTACAGGTGTGCAAGACCTTTTGTTAGAATCACTCCCAGATAATCCAGGCTTAACACTGCTGTACGTGGCATGTTTGAGTTTCATTTTCTAATTTTCTCTAGTGTATAGAAATACAGTTGAATTCATTTTCCTGGCTTGGTGGTTGGTGACCTTGGTAAATACACTACTAACTCATATAATTAGATTTATTACATACACAATCATCACCTGCAGATCTTTTCAGTCTTTATACCTCTTATTTCCTTTTCTTGCATTGTTGCATGGGCTAGCACTTTTGAGTATAATGTTGAATAGATATGATATAGTGGACATCTTTTTTTGTTTCCACACTCAGGAGGAAAGCACTCAGTGTTTCACCATGAAATATGATGTATAAGGTTTTAAAAATTTTTTAAACATGATTTTTTTTCACATTTCTTTGACTGTCAAGTTTTCTTTGGCAAATTTATCTAAAATATTGAATTTTCATTTTAGAACCTAGTTTATAGTTATAATACAGAGGCCCTAAACTGATCCAGGTTCACCAGGATACCTTTCTCTAAGCCCTAGTGGTTAATACTTTCCCTATAAAACGTACAAGTATCTTTTAATTAAGTTGTCATTCACAGAAATTATAAATTAAACACCTATAAATTCTTGTTGCTATAAGTTTTAAAGGAAGTTCCCTTTATTCCTAGTTTACTGAGAGTTTTAAAACAAGTAGTTATTACATTTTATCATATGTTTTCTTCCGCATATTTTTTCCTTTAGTCTATCAAATGATTACGTTATGGATTTTCAAATATTAAACAAACTTTATATCCCTAAAACAAATACCACATGGTCGAGTGTATTGTTTTATATGTCACTGGATTTGATTTACAAATATTTTAAGATTTTTGTGTCTATTTTTATGAGCAAGATTGGCTTGTAATATTTCTTTCTTTTAAAAAGGTCCTTGTCAGATTTTGGTGTTAAACGTATGACCTCATAAAAAAAAACTTGAAAAAGAAAAAAGAAAAGAAAGGGTTGAAAAGGCTTTTCTACTTTCCTCTTTAGTGAAAGGGTTTATATGGGGGTTTTGGGGGGTTTTTTTTCTCTGAAATATTTGGACAGATTGACCTGTAACGCCATCTAGGCCTGGCTTCATTGTGGGAAACATTTTAAATATGGAGTTAATTTGTTTAACAGAAATAGGCCCATCTGGATTTTCTATTTCTTTTATGTCACTTTTGATAAGCAGTGTCGTTTAAGGAAAATGTCCATTTCATATGAATTGCCAAATTATTGACATGTGGATGTTCATAATATCTTTTTTTATTGAAGTGTAGTTGATTTACAATGTTGTGTTCATTTCAGGTGCACAGCAGAGTGATTCAGCTCCCTCTCTCTCTCTCTCTCTCTCTCTCTCTCTCTATATATATATATATATATATATATATATATATATACGCTTTTTCAGATCCTTTTCCATTATAGGTTATTACAAGATATTGTTCCCTATGCTATACAGCAGGTCCTTGTTGTGTATTTATTTTGTAGATAGTAGTGTGTATCTGTTAATCTCAAACTCCTAATTTATCCCTCCCCCCAACCTTTCTCCTTTGGTAACCGTAAATTTGTTTTTTATATCTGTGAATCTATTTCTGTTTTGTAAGTAAGTTCATTTGTATCATTTTTTTAGATTCCACATATAAGTGATATCAAATGATATTTGTCTTTCTCTATCTGACTTACTTCACTTAATATGATAATCTCTAGGTCCATCCATGTTGCTACAAATGGCACTATTTCATTCTTTTTTGTGGCTGAGTAATATTTCATTGTATATGTATATATATGTATACCACATCTTCTTTATTCATTCATCTGTTGATGGACATTTAGGTCGCTTCCATGTCTTAGCTACTGTAAATAGTGCTGCTGTGAACATGGGGGTGCATGTACCTTTTCAAATTAGAGTTTTCGTCTTTTCCAGCTATACACCCAGGAGTGGGATTGCTAGATCATATGGTAACCCTATTTTTAGTTTTCTAAGTAACCTTCATTCTGTTCTCCATAGTGGCTACACCAATTTACATTCCCACCAACAGTGTAGGAGGGTTCCCTTTCCCCACACCCTTTCCAGCATTTATTATTTGTAGACTTTTTGATGGTGGCCATTCTGACTGGTGTGAGGTGATACCTCATTGTAGTTTTGACTTGCATTTTTCTAGTAATTAGTGATATTGAGCATCTTTTCATGAGCCTATTGCCATTTGTATGTCTTCTTTGGAGAAATGTCTGTTTAGATCTTCTAAATCCCATTTTTTGATTGGGTTGTTTGTTTGTTTGTTTGATACTGAGCTGTTTATATATTTTGGAAATTAATCCCTTGTCAGTTGCATCATCTGCAAATTTGTTCTTCCAGTCCATAGGTTGTCTTTTCATTTTGTTTATGGTTTCCTTTGCTGTGCAAAAGCTTTTAAGTTTAATTAGGTACCATTTGTTTATTTTTGCTTTTATTTTCATTACTTTAGGAGATGGATCAAAAAAATATTGCTACAATTTATGTCAAAGAGTGTTCTCCCTATGTTTTCCTCTAGGAGTTTTAGCCAGTCTTACATTTAGGTCTTTAATCCATTTTGAGTTTATTTTTGTATACGGTGTTAGAGAATGTTCTAATTTCATTCTTTTACCTGTAGCTGTCCAGTTTTCCGAGCACCACTTATTGAAGAGGCTGTCTTTTCTCCATTGTACATCCTTGCCTCATAGATTAATTGACCATAAGTACATGGGTTTATTTCTGGGCTCTCTATCCATTGATCTATATTTCTGTTTTTGTGCCAGTACCATACTGTTCTGATTACTGTAGCTTTGTAGTATAGTCTGAAGTCAGGGAGTGTGATACCGCCAGCTCCATTCTTCTTTCTCAAGATTGTTTTGGCTATTCAGGGTCTTTTGTGTTTCCATACAAATTTAAAAACTATTTGTTCTAGTTTTGTGAAAAATGCCATTGGTAATTTGATAGGGATTGAATTAAATCTATAGATTGCTTTGGCTAGTGCAGTCATTTTAATATATTGATTCTTCCAATCCAAGAACACGGTATATCTTTTCATCTGTTTGTGTCATCTTCAATTTCTTTCATCAGCATCTTATAGTTTTTGGACTACAGGTTTTTTGCCTGCTTAGGTAGGTTTATCCCCAGGTATTTTATTCTTTTTGATGCAATGATAAATGGGATTGTTTTCTTAATTTCTCTTTCTGATCTTTTGTTGTTAGTATATAGAAATGCAACAGATTTCTGTATATTAATTTTGTATCCTACAACTTTGTCCTGAATTCACTGATGAGCTCTAGTAGTTTTCTGGTGGCATCTTTAGGATTCTCTATGTATAGTATCATGTCATCTGCAAACAGTGACAGCTTTACTTCTTCCTTTCCAATTCGGTTCCTTTTATTTCTTTCTCTTCTCTGATTTCTGTGGCTAGGACTTCCAAAATTATGTTGAATAAAAGTGGTGAGAGTGGGCATCCTTGTCTTGCTCCTTATCTTAGAGGTAACGCTTTTCACCACTGAGTATGATGTTAGCTGTGGGTTTGTCATATATGGACTTTATTATGTTGAGGTAGGTTCCCTCTAAGCCTGCTTTCTGGGGAGTTTTAATCATAAATGATGTTGAATTTTGTCAAAAGCCTTTCCTTCATCTATTGAGATGATCATGTGGGTTTTTTTTCTTCAGTTTGTTAATGTGGTGTATCATGTTGACTGATTTGTGGATATTGAAAAATCCTTGCATCCCTGGGATAAATCCCACTTGATCATGGTGTATGATCCTTTTAATGTATTGTTGGATTCAGTTTTCTGGTATTTTGTTGAGGATATTTGCATCTATGTTCAGCAGTGATATTGGCCTGTAATTTTCTTTTTTTGTGATATCTTTGTCTGGTTTTGGTATCAGGGTGATGGTGGCCTCATAGAATGAGTTTGTAAGTGTTTCTTCCTTTGCAGTTTTTTGGAAGAGTTTCAGAAGGATAGGTGTTAACTCTTCTCTAAATGTTTGGTAGAATTTACCTGTGCAGCCATCTGATCCTGGACTTTTGCTGGTTGGGAATTTTTAAATTACTAATTCAATTTCAATACTGGTAATTGGTCTGTTCATATTTTCTGTTTCTTCCTGGTTCAGTCCTGGGAGAGTGTACCTTTCTAAGAATTTGTCCATTTCTTCTAGGTTGTCCACTGTATTGGCATAGAGTTGCTTGCAGTAGTCTCTTATGATCCTTTATATTTCTGTGGTGTGGGTTGTAACTTCTCCTTTTTCATTTCTGATTTTATTGATTTGGGCCCTCTTCCTTTTCTTCTTGATGAGTGCAGCTAAAGATTTATCAATTTTGTTTACCTTTTCAAAGAACCAGCTTTTAGTTTCATTGATCTTTTCCATTGTTTTTTTTTTTTAGTCTCTATTTCATTTATTTCTGCTCTGATCTTTGTGATTTCTTTCCTTCTACTAACTTTGGGTTTCCTTTGTTCTTCTTTTTCTAGTCGCTTTAGGTGTAAGATTAGCTTGTTTATTTGAGATTTTTCCTGTGTCCTGAGGTAGGCTTGTATTGCTACAACTTCCCTCTTAGAACTGCTTTTGTTGTATGTCTGACAGAGTTTGGATTGTTGTGTTTCCATTTTTATTTGTCTCCAGATATTTTTAAATTTCCTCTTTGATTTCTTCAGTCACTCATTGGCTGTTTAGTAGCATATTGTTTACCCTCCACCTGTTTGTGTTTTTTGCAGTTTTTTTTCTTGTAGTTGATTTCTAGTCTCATAGTGTTGTGGTCAGTCTATTTAGAGGTTTATCAATTTGAAAAAAAATGTTTCAAAGATCCAACTTTTGGTTTTGCTAATTTTCTCTGTGGTACATTTGTGGGTTTTCTTAAAAAAATTATTTATTTTTAATTTTGGCTGTGTTGGGTCTTCATTGCTGCACGCAGGCTTTCTCTAGTTGCGGAGAGCGGGGGCTACTCTTCGTTGTGGTGCACGGGCTTCTCATTGCAGTGGCTTCTCCTGTTGTGGAGCACAAGCTCTAGGCGCAGGCTCAGTGGTTGTGGCACACGGGCTCAGTAGTTGTGGCGCACGGGCTTAGTTGCTCCACAGCATGTGGGATCTTCCTGGACCAGGGATCGAACCCGTGTCCCCTGCGTTGGCAGGCAGATTCTTAACCACTGTGCCACCAGGGAAGTCCCCCAAAAAACATTTTATTAATGTCTCCTCTGGTAATATCTGGTATTGATAATTTGTTTGGGTTTGAATTTGCTGGTAGTTTTCTGGTGATTTCTTTGGGTTTGACTTTGAGGTGATCTTTCTAATATCTGAGATGGATGCTTCACTGACTGTCCCTAGCCTTTATTATTTTCCACTATTTGCATCTACAGCTAAAAATCGCTTTATAAACAGAACCTAGCTACAAGATTCGATACTTGGTATTTTAACTCTCATTTAGTTAAGAAACATGCATTACTTTTTATCCCGATCTCTTCTTTGACGCGGGTTATTCAGAAGCACATTTGTGAAATGGGTGTTAATCTCCTGTTGTTACTTTGTCTTCACGGCTCTGTGATCAGGGGACATGATCTATGTGGCTACTGTCCCTTTGAAATTGGTTAAGAACATCTCCGTGGTCAATTTTAATAAATGTTCCCTGTGTCCTGGAATGGGCAGGATGGCGGCCACTGAATGAGGTGTTCTGTGTGCGTGTGAGGTGAGGGTTGGACAGTCACATTCAATCCTCGTCCTCACTGACCTTTGTGGTTGTGTCAGTGACCGAGGGCAGTGCCTGTCACTATCTGCAGCTGAGGCTACTTTGTCCTCCTGGTGGTCCTGCCAGCCCTGCTCTGGTTTGTAACTGACTTTGTCCAGAACTCCCCACGTGTGGAAGCCCTCAGATGCACCTTGGTGTCTGCTTTGTCAGTTGAATGTATTGTAATTTTTTTCTCCCCAGTCTAGGGTTTGCCTTCTCGTTTTCTTAGCTGAGGAGAACATTTCAATTTTGATAAAGTCTGATTTGCCCATCTTAGCTTCGATGGTCAGTGCTTTTGTGGAGCATCTCGGGCTTGCTGCCTTGCCCGAGGTTCTGAGAGCCCCTCCCGGCTCCTGTGCACGCTTTCACACTTGCGCCTGTGACCCACGTCCAGTTACCGTGTGTCCCCAGGTGGGGCTAGGGCTCCCGTCTCCGTGTGGACGGGCCGCTGCTGCAGCCCCACCCCCGCTTAGGGCCTCAGTGCTCTCCCTTGCCTGCATCAGTTGGCTCCGAGGACGTGGGTCTCTGGGGTCCACGGGGTGGAGGGAGCTGCAGGTGGAGCAGGTGGGTGGGTGGCCGGGGTGTCCACTGCCTGCATGCCCACCTGGAATGCTCTTTGGATGTTCAGGGACCATGGGTCCAGGAGGCGTCGGGAGGTCGGATGGTCTGCCGGGGTGTGTACGTTGCAGGAGCATCTGCTCCGTGGAATTCAAGCCACCATCTGGGATGAGATGGCCCAGGGTGGATGGGGAGGTGAAGCACAGATGTCTGTGGTCCAGGCCTGGGCCTGGCCACAGGCAGGGCGTGCGGAGAGAGAAGGGGCGGCAGTGAGGGAGGGAGAGCGGGGCTCAGGGGAGCAGGGACCGGCCGGCTGAGTGTCCAGTGCTGGCAGAGGCCAGGAAGCAGGGAGTGGCCACGGGATTGGCCTGTGCATGTGTGACCTTGGCCCGAGCTTGTCTGTGGTGGAGCCAGCAGACGGGCTGTGGAGAGAGGAGAGCCGAGAGGTGGAGGAGGGAGTGGGCAGGGTGCAGGGATGAGGGTTTTCATTGTAATGTTTATATGGACGCTGCTACGCTTGCTGTGTGCTGATGGGAGTCTGGTGGCCAGGGCCCAGAGAGGAACCCAGAGGGGCTGGTGGCCAGAAGGCTGGCCCAGGCAGAGGCTGAGGGCTGACCGAGTGCCATGGGGGCTGGACATGGGGATGGGGCTGGTGTCTCCTGAGTCCGAATGTCACTTGTTCACTCTTTCTGTTACTTCTTTCCTTTGCCTTGATGTCTGTTTCTCTTTTGCAGAATTAAAACGAGGAATTTCCCAAGACTTTGATTTCTTCCCCCAAATTAGACAAATACAAAATAGCAAGACAACTAACGGACAAGGCAATCAAGGTAAATGCTCTCTGGGGCTCGGTGGGAGGGGTACTTTTAAGAACAGAAGTTCGTTTTGGAACTTGGAGAGTGAGTTCATTGCCTCTGACGCCCCCCCCCCCGCCCAGGTGAGGCGGCCCCCGCAGTCCTGGCCCCCGCGTGGAGGCTTCTGCCAGTTACTTTATGTTTCAGCTGTACTTTTGAAAGAGGTAATGCTTTCAAAATTCAAAAAACACAGACACGTACACGGTAAAAATCTCTCCTGCAGCCGTGCAGTCGTGTGACTGCAGCTGTGGACACTCATCCCAGACAAGGGACAGACTCCTAGTGACTCACAGACCCCCTCCCATCCTCTCCCCCCGCCCCAGGCCCCCGGGTGACACGGTGAGGACACTTGCATGTGAGAGGCGTTTGTGCCCAGGAGAGGAACTCTGGGGCTCAAGTGGGGCAGCTGGCATACCCACCCACTTGCTCAAGGGGGAGGCCTACCTTTCACCAGAACGGGAGAATTTGGGGGAGATAAAGAAGGACAAGCGTTCTTCAAAGGGGGGCAGGTGGCTCCACGGCTACCACTTTGAGAACATGATCCTCTGTCCTTATCACGCGTTCGCGTTGCTCAGGCTAGGACAGTGGGGAAAAGCACTGACAAATCCAACACACGTTAACACGTGGCAATGTGCTCATTCCCTTAACTTTCTTCTGAAGCACAGCACACACGTGCGAGTGCACAGATCATAAATGCACAGCTCGGGCTGCGATGGGCTGCATGTACCTGGAGAGAGCAGCACAGCACAGGTGACGTATGCAATCAGCATGAACCCCTGCAGGCATGACAGAGCACCTCTGCCCCCTTGGAAGCTGCCTCCCGCCCTAGTTATTCCCCAATCCTGGCAACCACGGATGTGCTCTTGGTGCTTTCCTACCACTGTCCTTTCTGGGGCTTCATATAAGTAGAATTTAATTTTCAGATTTTCTTCTGAGACCTTAAAACATATAAACATTCAGGGCTACAAACATCCCACTAAGTACAGCTTTAGCTGCATTTCAAAAGACTTCATTTTGTAGTGTTTTTGATGAGATTCAGTTCAAAGTATTTTATAATTCATATTATTGCTTTTCATTGATTGTGTGTTACTTAAAACTATCGTTCTTAATTTCTAAACTGGTGGCTACTTTTCTAGTTATTTTATTATTGATTTCTAGTTTGCCTGTGGTTGAGAATATAATGGGTACAATGTTATTCCACTGAAATGTGTTCAGAAGTGTTTTATACCTAGCATTTTGTTAATTTATATAAAAGTTGATGTGGAGTGCTATATTCACAGCCATCAGGGTAGAGCTTGTTATTTGCGTTGTTGAAGTCTTCTAGCCTTACTGAGATTTTTTGTCTCTGTGTTCTCTAATTTACTGAGAGAAGCATGTTAAATATCCTATTGTAATTGGGGATTTGCCTACTTTGTGTTTCTGCCAGTTTTTGCTCTATATAATTTATAGCCATCTTAATGGGTGCAAATGTATCTTTCTGGTGAATTGAATGTTTTCTTTAAATTATGGGATGATTTTCTTTACTTTAGTGATGTTTATTTGTCCCAAAGGCTATTCTGTCTCATATATAGATCCTTTTATTTTTTATCTATCTGTAGGGTTGTGCTTTTGATTTTCTCCTGTGAACAACATAGATTTAGATTAAAAAAAAGACATAGTCTGGCACTCTTTACATTTTAACTGGAGCATTTTGTGTATTTATCTATAATTAAACACTGGTATATTCCCATCGTGTTTCATTCATTTGGTTTGCACTGTCTGCTCAGTTTTCCTCTCCTTTCATGCTTCCTTGTGGACTGATTACTTTTTATTATTCCATTTTCCCCTCTCTTGTGTTAGAAATCTTGTACTCTTTTTTGTCATTTTGTAGTTCCCTTTATGTATTGTCCTGTGCTGACTTATTAAAGTTAATCAGATTTTCTGAAGTCATTCAGTTTGACTCCAGTTAAGGAGAGGATTGGAGGTGGCTGGGAGGTCTTGCTGGAGCTGCAGGGCACTGACATTCCTGCTGTTGTCATACTCCCTGCCCGCCTCTCCTCACAGTGGCCCCTGTCGTGGTGCACGGCCCTGTTGAGGGTGAGGCCAGGCTTTGGACTCAGGTTCTGACTAGAAGGGGGCTTGGAGGTCTTTCGTGTGGGCACTGGGACTTGAGCTCTCAGCATCTGGCCACAAGCCCACACGTTCTTGGCATGTGTTCCCAGTCTTCCCCCTGGGACCCGTGTTAGCTGCCAGTGCTGCTTGACAAATCACCATGAATTTAGCTGCTTAAACACACCACGTATTATCTCCTGTGGGTCAGGGGTCCAGGCTGGGTCCTCTGCTCAGTGTCTGTCAAGGGTGAAATGAAGCATCAGCCAGATGGGGTCTCATCTGAAGGCTCAACAGGGGAAGGACCTGCATCCAAGCTTCCTCAACTTGTTGGCAGAATTAATTTCCTTGTGGCACCTTCTTCAAAGCCAGCGGTGGAGAGAGACAGTCTCTGCTGTTTTCAGTCTCTGACTTGAGAGAATCCTGGACCCGCTTTTAAGCGGCACACCTGATTAGGTCAGGCCCACCCAGGATAATCTGTCTTTCAAATCCAGAGTCTAATTAGGGACCCTAGTGAGTTTGAGCGGCCTCCCCCTGCTGCCCTGGCCTCCTCTCCTGCTCTCACAAGCTCATGAGGCCCTAAGCTCACTGCTGACCATACCCCTGTTCCCTGACCCTGCCCTGCAGCTGCTGCCCTCTGACCCTGTCCAACGGATGTGTCCAGGCTGTGTCCTCAGCAGCATGGGCCCTGGGGCTCCAGCATGACCATCACTCTCCTGCCCCCTGTCCCTCGTCTGGGAAGGCAGAGGACGCAAGCTACCAACTCCCTGCCTGGCCCTTGGCAGCTGGCCTCATTCCCGCAGTGATGGGCAGAGTCCCCAGCTCCCCTGGTGCTGGCCCTGGGCAGTTCGCACTGCCCCTCCAGCCATTGGTGGGCATTTGTTCCCCCCTCTCCTCTCAAACCTCGGGCAGCTCCCCCACCCCAGGCCTGAGGGGCGGCCACCTCTGCAGAGAAAAGGAAGCCGCAGAGCACAGGCCCTCGGGCCCTGTCCCTCATCCCACCTTTCAGACCTGGAGCTGCCCTGAGCTGGGGTCTGAGCCTCAGGACGCACCGAGGTCCTGGCTGTGCTGTGCCTCCTGGCCTCCACGTTTGGGGCAGCAGGCGCACACACGGTGGAGTGGGCCTGTCCGGGGGCTGCCCGGCCCCAACCCGTCGGCCGTCCCAGCGCTCCTGGGTGATTTTCTCGGAGCAGAACACAGGTGTCTTCCCGCCGGTGCGGCCTGTGTCATCCTGGGAGTAGCCTCCTCTTGCAGAGACAACATTAACTCGTTTTCAATTCTTTAATTTCAAACACACTCTTGAAATTCACGGAAAAGATCTCCATCTCTGGACACTACCCGGTGGCCCGGGCCTCCCTGCGGAGGAGGGCTGGGCGGAGAGGAGCTTCCACTTTCTGCCCAAGGTCGTTCCGAGGGTCGGAGACGGAGGGGAAGGAGCGCCAGGTAGAGTATCGGAGGCATCTTGTGTTTCGGTGTGAGAGGTTTGTGTGCATGTCACAAGGACCCAGATGTGAGTCGATTCTGCGGGTCCTGTGCTGTGGCCTCACCCTTGGGGAAGGAGTCACCTCCCGGCCCCCGCCCCGGGCGTCCGGGCACTGGCGAGCCCTTTCAAACCCTGGTACTGGTCACTTCTTGGTGTCCCACCGTCCATGCCCAGACCTCCGCCTGTGTCTGGATGGTGTTCATCGTCCTTTAGCGGCCTGGCCTTGACTGTCCCTCCTCTGGCCCCTGCAGTGCCCGCTGCAGCCAGCCCCTGGTCACTGGTCCTCCCTGACCCCACCCGTGCCTGCCCCCTGCTCTGCACAAAGTCTTTATCCTCTTGGCTCCAGGGTCTGTGCTGGGCCTCGTCCCACACGGTGCTTGAGACCCAGCTCACGGCCCTGCCCAGGTCCCGGGTCCCCGACCCTGGCACGGCCCCTGGCGGGGGTGCCATGCGGTGGACACCCGAGCCTGACTTGACCCTGCTCCTTTCGGGACCCACAGGGGCACCTGCTCCACACTGGGCCCCGTCGTGGGCCCGGCTGTGGTCACGCCTTCCGGCCGTGATGCACTGACATCTCCTGTGTGTTGTGTTTGCAGAAAGCAAACGTGCTGAAGGCAAAGAAACTCAAGAAGTGGCTTTTTTGGGGAAAACAGACGCCATCCACGATGTGATAGTAGGTCCCGTGGGCTCCGGAGGGGCCTCGGCTGACGTTTACCTGCCTTTGCGCCGCGTCCGGGGGCGGGGGGAGAGATATGGCAAAGCCACGGTCACGCCCGGCCTCGAGGACATGCGTGTGTGTGCGTGCGTGTGCATGCGTGTGCACGTGTGCATCCGTGTGCCCCGTGTTTCTGAGTGTCCACGTGTGTGCCTCCACGTGTGAGCAGGCCATCTGGGCCTGTCATCTGTGGAAACCCTGTGGGGTAGGATCAGAACAGCCCCCAGGCGGCGATGGTGGCGGTGGAGTCTGCTGGACGCAGCGCCTGCCTGCGGGGCAGGGCAGCTGCCTCAGGGCCCAGCTCCCGGGCCTCAATGCTCCCTGGTGGCAGGTCAGCCATCAGGGACGGGCTTTGCAGAGCTGTGCTGCCCCGGGAGGGCTCTGCTGGCCGGTAACAGAGGGTCACTGCGACTCAAGGGGAGGGAAGAAAGTTAAAACAAGACCAAACAGCGTCCACCGCGAGCAAGCATGACACGTTGACCACGCTGAAGAGCTCCTGTCCCTCATGTGACCCCGTGAACAGAACGAAAAGACGAGCCACTCAGGGAGGTACTTACAGGGCTTACGAGTTAAAAGAGCTGATGCTCAGGACAGGTGACACGCTCACAGGTCAGGAGCAGATGACGATCCAATAGAAACGGGCAAGGACCCGACAGGCCGGGGAGCCCATCACTGCAAGTTCTCAGAGCAGATTCATTTCTGTGAAAGTCGACCGTGAGGCTGGGGGGCCGTCCGCGGCTAGGGGGCGTGAGGAGTCGGTGGGGGTGGGTGCAGGGGGCCGGGCCTGCGCGGGAGCGTCAGCTCTGGACCGAAGGCCGTTTCTCACCCCGGGCGCCCGGGGAGCCACCAAGCCGCTGTCTATGCTTCCGTGTATGACGGTTCATCACACACTGTGACAAATGACAGCTGCTCTCATGGGCCCCTGCATTCTGAAGGTGCGGGGGCAGCGGAGGAGCCTGTGTCCCGGGGGCCAGGGAGGGGGACTCTCCCAGGTCCACATGTGGTGTGTCCCTGTGGCCGGCGTGGGTACCCACAGGGGGCGCAGCTCAGACCCCACTCGGGGCCCCTGGAGCCCAGAGCCCGAAGCCCCCCACCCCTGTGCCATCGGAAGCCCCGTGTGGTAGCTGCTCCCACGTGAGCCCGCAGGAGACCCTGAAGGAACGTGCGAGGCCACAGTCAGGATGGGAGAGTCACAGAAATCACACACCACTTCTCACCTAAACCCCGGTTCCTTTAGTCTTGGTGTGTCCCGTTGTCAGAGGCGTGAGCCTTGGGTGCTGGGTGTGGATAAAGGCTTTTTCTTGCCAGTCCAGGTTGGTAAAAAATGAAACACCATTCTTCCTCTGGACAATCAAAAGGGACATCATTGACTATCACAGTCTGAGCTGCAACCAGATGCTGAATCACTACGGGAAGACGGCGTCCTTCACCACCAAGGTGAGTGGGAGGGCTGGGGGCGCAGGCGGGGCAGCACCCTGCCTCCTGAAATGCCAGCACCTCCGGAGCCGGGAGCTCCACACGGGGACTGGTTCCCTGGGGGCGCCTCTCCAGGACTGGAGCCTCCTGCTGGCCTCGCCCGGCAGCAGTGTCCAGAGCTGCTCTGTGCTGCTGCCCTCAAACCGCCCCCCAGAGCCCCTGTGCCCCTCGCCCTGCGTCCCTGGGCGGCCCCAAGGCGCACAGGCCAAGCCCAGGACAGGACAGGTGACGGCTGCCACCGCAGCCCGACCCAGGCTCTGGGCCCTGAAGGGGCTCTGGATCCCAGGGGGGCCGGGCCACCCTCACCTGCGCTGTGACTTCCAGCTGCGGGGGGGGGGGCATTGCCACACGGGCACTTCCTGCCCTCACCCCCTTTCAGCCGCCAGCCCCTCCGGGCAGCCGTTCCCCATTTACCCTGAAGGCTGAGGTTAGGGGCGGGGCCAGCCCGGGACAGACAGGCCTGTGTGTACCCCCGGGGAGAGATTGGGTAAAGGGGCTTCCCTGGCAACAAGGGCACTGTCCCCTAATCCCTCAAGGCTGACAGAGGGGCAGGGATGAGGTGGACGGCTGCCCCCGGGGCTCCCTGTAGGGCTCCGCCCCCCCCCCCCCCCCCCCCCCGACGCATCCTCGCCAGGCCTTGGGCCGCTGGTGTCCTTCCGGGTGTGGGCAATGCCTGCGGACGGCCCTGGAGCCGGCTCTGCCCAGCCAGGCCCGCGGGCACTAAGAGTGGTCCGAGCTGGCCCGGCGCGTGGCCGGCGGGCCTGACGTGCCGCTGTCTCTGGAGATCGGGCTGTGCGTGAGCCTGCGGAGCCTGCTGTGGTGCGTCCAGGCCAACCCCGACTCCTTCCCACGCTGCTACGGCCTCTGCACCGAGAGCGAGAAGCGAGAGTTCCTGGGTGAGTGGCTGGCGGCCCGGCCGAGGCGCCTGGTGTTGAGCGTTGGGCCCGGAAACCCGGCGGGGCCTCTTTCTGGCCCACCTTCCTGCAGGAGGGGCCTCAGGGCTGGGGGTGGGGGTGGGGTGATGGGG